TATATATATATATATATATATATATACATCAAGAAGAATAACAACATCTCTTGTATGTTTTTCCATAAAGATCAATTGGGTAACATGAAATACTTTGTTAAGAACATTATAAACATTATAGGATCATCGATTCTTGAACTTTGTTCCACGTACAGCGGATACAAATCCATTATTATTCTTGAACTTATATGCCTTAACAAATAAGATTGTTGCTTTTTTTTTCATTAGTTACTAATGTGGCAATCCGAAGTCTTCTCGTTTCTCCATTGATTTCATATTTATAAGAAGGGTATCAGCTACTTAGTAGCACCAATAGACATCTGGGTGAAAATTTTTGCATCCGAGTGAAATTGTTTGCAACACATTCTTCTATAGGATGCTATGAGACCAGCTTTACTTGATAGAGCGGAATGTTGGGCGGTCAATAAACAACATACCCATCCATTGATTCAATATTTATAAGGAGGGTCTCAGCTACTTAATAACACCAATAGACATCTGAGTGAATATTTTTGCATCCGAGTGAAAATGTTTGCATCACATTGTTCTATAGGATGCTATGAGACCAGCTTTACTTTATGGAGCGGAATGTTGGGCGGTCAAGAAACAGCATACCCATAGAATGAGTGTAGTTGAGCTGAGGATGTTGAGATGGATGATGTAAAGACAAGAAGGGGTAGAATTCAAAATGAATACATTTGGGAGAATTTACGTGTGGTACCAATAGACGATAAGATGAGAGAGTAGACTTAGGTGGGCTAGCCATTTGTGGAGTAGACCCAACATAACACCTTTTAAGCGATGTGAATTAGTTCGAGTGGAAGGCTCAAAAAGAGTAAAGGGTAGGCCTAAAAGGGCATAGTTGGAAGTGAGAAAAGCTATGAAGAGTTATGACCTCATCAAGGGTATGGACCTTAATAGAATAGAATGGCAGACTAGGATTTGTGTAGCTGATCCCAATTAGTTGGGAAAAAAGCTTCGATGATGATGATGATGATGATGACATTGTTTACAAGGCCAACCTTAGATGTATAGATGATGCCATACAAAGCTAAATCAATAGACTTGATAAATTTCAACAAAGTCAGATACTATGCGAAAAACTTCAACATTAGAAAGCTAAAACAAGAAAAAGTTAAAGTTCAACATTGGTTCCTTTACAAATGAAATGAGCTGCTTGACCTACAATAATGCTATATACCTTTAAATCATCATCATCATCATCATCATCATCATCATCATCATCGTCATCATCATCGTCATCGTAGTCAAAGCCTTTTAACAACTAATCGGGGTTGGTTACACGAATTCTGGTTCGCCATTCCGCTCTATTAAAGACCATACCCTCAATGAGGCCATAAGTCACTATATCTTTTCTCACTACTTCTAACTATGTCCTTTTGGGCCTACCCCTTGCCCTTTTTGAGCCTTCCACTTGAACTAACTCACACATCCTAACAGGTGTTGTACTGGATTTGTGCCACACCTAGCCAACCCACCTAGGTCTACTCTCCCTCATCTTATCGCAATGTCGCCTATTGGTGCGACACCTAAATTTTTTCGAATGTATTCATTTCGAATCCTATCCCTTCTTGTCTTGCCACTCATCATATATGGATTAGATTTTTGGCGTCGAAAAAGCTAATATCAATGTATCTGCTTCAGGTGATCCTTAGATTTGACAAAAATAGGGTTCACAAAATTGGGTTTGTCTAGGCTCAACGTAGTCAAATACAAGAAATGAAGGGAAAAAAGATTCTAAAGAGATGAATGGTTCTCACATATTAAATCATGAAAGTTCATAGCTTCTTATACAAGTAATGAAGGGACCAAAGGACATATTTACCAAGTAATGGCTAAGAAAAAGAAAATAAAAGGACTTCATTCTCAAGAAAAAGAAAATAAAAGGAGTAGCACATGATAGGAATACAGGTACCACAACATTTAACATGCGATAGGATTATATCGCATTTCAAGATACCAATTCAACAACAAAAGGAATGTAATTTCGAAACTTTTAAAAAAACTAATGTTACTCTATCCCTCACCTGGTCATGTACGAGTCATCATTAGTATTAACAACAATCACATCGCCAGTTTTGATAAATGCAGGTGCCTGGCAAAACAAACAACTTAATGAGATAGAAGGACCATATGAAGTATAATTCAAAGATGCTTGGAAGTTCTTACAAGCTGTATAGCTGATGCAGAAGAATTTGAAGAAACATAGAAAATTAGCAAGAAACAAACCTAAACACAATCATATTCAAATAAACCTAGGGTTTCTTCTCCATACCCCGAGCTAGGGTTCCAAAAAGTCTAAAATTTTGTCTTTCAATTTCTAAAAATCATGTGCAATTGACCCTTTCAAGGCCCCAAACAATTTTTATATATTATAATTCAATGTTTAAAGACATTACATATCCATACAATGATTAAAATGACCTATATATCTTAACTTAAACTTAAATTTTATAATTACAATTTTACCCTTATGAACAGTACCCATGAACAGTACTCATCAATAGTACTTGTGAATAATACTCATGAAATAAATAAAAAAACTATTAAAACCCTAGAATTCCTAAAAAACTTCAAATCTCTAGAAATAAACCTAAAACTATAATATACATCCTTTGAAATTGAATAAAAGTAAAAAATAAGAACACTTTTTCCCTTTATTATTCTCCCCTGGTTGGAGAAAACTCATCCTTGAGTTTTGAAGTGTGCTAAGATAAAATTGGCGTTAATCCGACAACATTCTTCAACTCGAATATTGTAAATTTGATGCAGGAGAATTTGAAGAAACATAGCAAATAAGCAAGAAACAAAGATAAACAGAAGCATAATTCAAATAAACTTAGAGTTTTGTCTCCATACGCCAAGCTAGGGGTCCAAAATGTCTAACCTTTTCTCTCTTTCAATTTCTAAAAATCATATGCAATTGACCCTCTCAAGACCCCACACATCTTATATATTATAATTGAATGTTCAAAAATATTATATGTCCACACAATGATTAAAATGACCTATATATCTTAACTTAAATTTAAATTTTATAATTACAGTTTTACCCCAATGAACAGTTCCCATGAACAGTACTCGTGAATAGTACTCATGAAATAAATAAAAAACTATAAGAACACTAGAATTCCTAAAAAACTAAAAACCCCTATAAATAAACCCTAACTAAAACTAGAATATACATCCTTTAAAATTGATTAAAAATAAAAAATTAGAACAATTTTTCCCTCCGTTAATAGCAAACAAAACAATATACATTGACTAAATGTCCATCTGAAGTTTTAGCAAATGTAAATAAATCCAATTACATAGATTAAACAAAGTTTGAAACAAGGTCTGGATCAAATAAAATGCACATTATTTATAACTGTATTTACGATATTGACTAAATCTCTCTTTTTGATAGCCTAATAATATATATTGAGCTTGGAAAAGTTTTGGTAAAGTTTTATGTTGGCCTACCTAACACAACTTACCTCCTATACTCAAGCTTGGGACAGGCTAAGGGAAAGTTTAAGGTCCTCACCTTCTTAGACCAATGACATAACATCCAATGACCAAAAATATTTCACAGTTCATGGTAGGGTCTGAGTCACCCTATCGTATCGGGTCGGGCTAGGTTCCGGTCAGTTCAGCCCGACCAGTATAAAATATATTGACTATATAATATATAAACTATAAACCTAGTAGGGTCGGTTCCAAGTACGCATCGACCTAGACGTGCCAGGTCCGGTCCGACCCAACTCATTGCCACCCCTATGCAAGATGTGCACTCGACACAGTTGGGCATCTAATGCGGTTCAAGTGGTCCCAATGCAAGATATATATATATATATATTTGGGAAAAGGCTCTAATGATTGGGTCAAACAGTTAGGAAACGGCTCTTATGATGACGATGATGATGATATATAAAAGTTTAACAAGACATATAAAAACATAAATTTGTAATTTATGCGATAGTACATATTTAATTTATTGATTATATCTAATATACTAGCTATATGGGTCCCTTGATAGCCTGATAAAGAGTACCAAAAGTTTTTTCTCTAATCTCTAATAGTTTGAATGTCTAATACAACAAACATACAAAAAAGGTAATTCATATCATCTCATTGTATAAATTAAAAAAATAAAACTAAAAACTAATGTGCCAAATCCACAAGACATAACATCCAATGACAAAGTATTTCACAGTTCACAGTCACAAGTACATGTTACATAAACATGCAAACTGTAAAGTTTAAACTCCAAGGAGGCAAAGACCTAACAATTGAAAGAAATTTTGATTTTTACTCGACCCTTGAAAATCCTCAATGTGTTGGTGGAACTCCACCCAAATACCTCCCAAATAATGCCCAAAACAATCTAAGGAATAACCCAAAGAATCTCTTTAACTCTTTCAAAACCTTGGACTTAAGAGAAAATTTTAAAGTTTGAATTTTTTTAGCGTTAGATTTGGGGCGAGGGTGGTGTTTGAATGGGTTTGGTTTATGTACCCCCAACTTTCCCATTTCAGGGGGAAATGACACTTCTTCCCCTGCTCATGTGGAAGCAATTTCTGCCAATGAGCAGTGACCACATACGAGAGGGCATTGCTCATGATGCAATGCACCCGCACATGCAGATGATGCACCACATATGGCACATCACCATTTTCTGCATTTGTGGCTAGGAGCAATGCACTCCAAGCCCTACATAATGTGTTATGCAGCCGCATTGAAAAACAAAGATTACATACATTCTTTTGTTGAACCTCATTGACTTTCCATATCTGCCTCAGGTTTAGAAAAGCAAATACTCAAATCTATGGCCACATACAATGTTAAGAGCAAAGGTTCCAACTCATATATGGTCTTCTCGATTTATCATTTCATTGAGACTTCTCATTAATGATTTTGTAGCCCAATCACTTAATGGCATTAGTAAAGGATATCATGTAATATCCTGATTTCAGATTACATGAATTAGCACAAAGGGCAATCAAAAATTTTCCCCAAAAAGCACCCAGTGAAACAGGAAACCATAATGATCAAAGCCGTTAGAAGAGGCTCTCAGAGACACTTACAAGCACAGTAAGCCCGTTGTCTAACACAACCTTCTTATACCTGTCATTGAAACCATGTCATTGAAACCAAGAAGGTTCATGGATCAGAATTCCATGATTACAGTTAAAAGAGGAAGAAATGACATAAAAAGGAAAAAGAAAAAGGGAAACAGAGAACAAATTCAGAAACTTGTTTCATTTCTTTACATTTTTTCTTCTTTTTTTCTAATGTTCGAGAACAAACTCATCTTTATCATGCATAAGTCAAGTATGTCTTTGAACAGATGATACTCATCCGACTTGGAACAGCAGCAAGATCTCAACATTACTAGCAGATCATGTAACTTGGCACCTTGCTGCATTAACAATTTGATGCCGCAATTCAAGAATTAAAGCATGTAGGAATTCACTTTCTTAAAACATGAAGAACTACTAGTCTCTTGATTCTGATTTCTTATTCTCAGGATTGTGATATCTTATTGTCAGGATATGTGAATATTGGACAAACAACTGTTCTTTTATCACTAAATAACAGAAACTCAACTCTAAGTCACAAAGTAACTCGGTACCTGGGTGGTCTATGAGGACAAGGGCCTTCAAGCCTTGACAAATCATTCTTCACGGCATGAATACTGCTGGCTTTAGACCTGTATGGTTCACCTTTATCTAATGGTTCTATGGGATCCGTAAGCACGGTTTTGTATGATCGATGGAGTTTGTACGTGCTAGAGTCTTGTCAAGTGTGATTTGACAAAGTCTTTATGACCAAGGTCTTAGCTATTGCAGAGGACCCCACGCGTCTTTGTCATGCAGTTTCATCTTCATAACTTGAGTTGGTCTTGGTGACCATACTTGACATCAGGGGAGGATCACCTGGAATATGTGGCTACACCACGGTCCTTCGACGGCATTAAGAGTCATGAATCCTGATCCAATGTTATATGCTCATACTAGGGCAGTCCTGTAAGCAACATGTTGTACCGGCATCCGGGTGTAATGATAAATGAACGAGGATTAGCTAAGGCGTTCCTTGGAAACGACGTGCCGCGACGATGCCCCGTTACGTTGATAAGTAGTGATAAATGCAGTCTTCGTAACCATTTGAGAGGACCCCACTCGTCTGTCATGTAGTTTCATCTTTATGACTTGAGTTGGTCATGGTGACCACGCTTGTCCTCAAGAGAGGGATCACCTGGGATATATGGCTACACCATGGTCCTCGGATGGCTTTAGAGTCATGAATCCTGAACCAATGTTATATGCCCATACTAGGCGGTCCTAAAGGGGTAGCTAGGGTGTTCCTTGGAAACGACGTGCCACAATGACGCCCAGTAGCGGTGATAAGTAGTCAATAGTTCCTGTGCCATTTTGGACTTGCACGGGTAAAGAAGTTAGTTCAAGAGAATAAGATTTGTCTAGCCACATGGAATATAGGACCTCTAACAGATAAGAGTGTGAATTAGTGGACGAAGGAGAGTAAACATAGCTTGCTTACAGAAAACTAAGTGGAAAGTGGCAAAAGCTAATGAAATTGATGAATACAAACTTTGGTATATAGGAAAGGATAATAACAAAAATGGCATAGGCATAACAATAGATGAAGATTTAAAGGATAAAGTAGTAGATACTAAGAAAGTAGGTGACAGGCGCCTATTAATTAAACTTGTGTTACAGGAGGAGATAATGAATGTAAATAGTGCTCATGCGCCACATGTAGGAGTAGATGATAGAATTAAATAACAATTCTGGGCGGATATGGATAGACTACAACAAAGAATACCACATGGAGAGAGGACCTTTTTAGGAAGGGACTTAAATGGTCATGTAGGAAAAGATAGTAGAGGATATAAAAAAGTATATGGAGGATAAAACTTGGAGAAAGAAATGAGATGGTTATGTTATTCTTGCTTTTACCATGGCTTATGACCTAGCAATGGCAAACACCTACATTAAAAAGCAAGATTAACATTTGGTAATTTACAAAAGCGGAACATATAAAAGCTAGATAGACTTCTTTCAAGTTAAGAAGACAGATTGATTATCATGTAAAGACTGTAAGGTCATCCTAGTTGACCAATAGAGGTCTGCAAGAGATTGGCATATCCTGGTTGACCAAGTTGTTCAATAAAAAAAAAAATTGAACAAAGAAAATACCAAACGAATGGAGAAAAAGTATTTTGGTACATATTTACAAAGAACAAAAGAGACATATAGAATTGTATGCACTTTCAAGGAATCAAAGTTATGAGCCACACTATGAAGCTGTGGGAGAGAGTGATTGAGCAACGAATACGACATGAAACGAATATATCAGAAAAAAAATTCGGTTTTATGCCAAGGAGGTCATCAATTGAGGATATTTTCCTACTTGGGCAATTATTGAGAAGTTTAGAGAGAAGAAAAAGGACCTCCATATGGTCCTTATTGATTTAAAGAAAACATAAGATAGGGTACCTAGAGAATTAATTTGATGGGTGTTAGAAAAGAAAGGAGTCTCTAGATGATATATTGACATAGTGAGAGCTATATACGAGGGAGCACTAATTAGTGTGAGGACAACTAGTGTAAAGACAAGTGAGTTTTCAGTAACAATAAACATGCATCAAGGGACAATGTTGAGCCCTTATCTCTCTATTTTGGTTATGGATGAGTTAATTAGGCATTTGCAGGATGAGGTACCAAGGTGTATGTTATTTATGGATGACATAACGTTGATTGATGAGACTAAAGATGGTGTTCAATGCAAGGTAAGAACTTTGGAGGGATGCTCTAGAATCTAAAAGTTTTCAAATTAGCCAAACTAAGACCGAATATATAGAATGCAAGTTTAGCAAGTTAAGATGGATAGCCCAAAAGTACCAAAAAGAGATTATTTGATACTTTGGGTTGACAATCCATGAGAATGGAGAGATTGAGAAAGATATTGTGCATAGATCTTGGGTGGAAGAAGTGGAGATGTGCTTCCAGAGTCTTATGTGATTGTCGCATACCAATGTAACTGAAGGAGAAGTTCTATAGGACACTTGTAAGACCAAATATACTTTATGCGACGGAATGTTGTGATATAGAGGATACGGTGCTCTTAATACAACACTTAACTTGAGAATGTATTTAAATTTTACAACCAATATATATGCACATGCAAGTGCAAATACACATTCACAACTGTAACACGCACAAAGTACAAAAACTTTGACTCTAATAGCACTTGAAAAACTCAAAATTACAACTCATTGGAGTCCCAAATACAAAATCTCAAACACTTGGCACATAAAAACTCAAACTATGCCACTTTATACAAGGACTTTCACATGGACTGCATATATAACTTGCCATCATCTAATACAGATCATTAACAACACAAACTCAAAGTTCAACAACTTATTACTCTTATGAACTCAAAACCACTGTAGATAGAGTGCCAAAATGAAAAGGGAGACCAATTGTCAAACCCTCAGTGCGCGGATCATTAATCAGATCTTTTAAGGACTTAGTGTTGTCCAATAGATAAAAGCACGGTTGGCTCAAAATCAAGGACTTACTCATTCACACCAATGGGAAGATCGAAATCACAAATTCACCACTTTATATAATTCAAAATGAGAGAGAGAGAGAGAGAGAGATGAATTTTTTAAGCCCAAAAAAGGTTGATGAAGCTAAGAAAATCAATTCATAAGAAACCCAAGTGTGTGGCAATGTAGTGAAGTGAATTGTGGCATAACATCCAACACTTTTCTCCAACTCCAAGCTTCAATTAATAATGATTAAAATGCCACCAGTTATTCACTGATATTTATAAAAATGAAGCTCAAAATCTCTGGGAAAGACGAGCTCAAAACTCAAAGGAAGTCGTGTCTAGTGGAAGAATACAATGACTACACAATGCATACTACAAAGTATACATGCATAGGACAAGAGGACTATAAATGATCACCAAAGCTAAATGTAATGGAAACAAAATGTTGTTGTAAATGATGAATTACAGCAAAGAAACAAGAAGGAAAAAGCTTAGAGAAGAAAGGAAATGGATGAGGTGATTACCTTAGAAAAGAAGAACTAGACACCTTGAAGCTATGTGCGAATTATCACCATGATCAAGAGAGCTTCACCAACACAAGGAGCAAGAGAGCTTAAGGATCAAATATGCATTTAAATGAGGGGGGTGTGGGAGTCTCTCTCTCTTGCGTGGGAGTCTCTCTCTCTCTCTTTCTCACAAGGTTCAAGTGTGTCGAAATGGGAAGTGGGCATGGATATTTATAGCGTTGACATGGTGAGATATTGAGTGAGTCAATCCTAGCCATTGATGCTTTTCATCTATGGCACATGAAAGGGCTTTGATTCTAGCCACACATCCATGCCTAGCCATCAGGATCAATAGATTTAATTTGCACACCATTATTACTCCATAAAATCCTAGATTAGTTTTACCAAATTGTCCTTGTCCCATAAAAAGTTTCCTTACAAGTTCTTTAATCATTCCATATTTGACAATAAAACTTTATGAAAATAATAAAACATCATAAGGGTAGGGCACGCCCTTATGGTAATTTGAAAAAGATATTTCAACTAGGATAATATCCCACATATTAGCCAATTACAAGGTGTCATACCATAAACTTCACATCAGCCTAGCCAATGCGACAATGCCACACAAAAAATCATTTTAATTTTTCATGTCCTCCTATAGATTAGGGTTTAAGCCAAAATATCATCATTAGCCCTAACCTGGCACATGTCACCCAATTCACATGTGTGAAAAATCCCACATGACAAAATAAAAACATTTTAGTTATAAAAATAACTTTTATCAAAAAATTATAACTTAATTGAACAAATCACATAATACCACACAAGGACAAGGCAACTTGTGTTTGATGTGGTGATGATGTAAGCAACATTGGGCCCCTTTGGGGTGCCATGTGGCCACTTGGGTGCCACGTGGACATCCCCACTAGTTGTCCGTAAGTGGAATTAGCCCCAATAAATTTCAAAAATGGCATTTTTGGCTCCAAAATAAATTTTCTAAAAATTTTCCAAAAATTCTCCAAATGATTTTTCATCATAAATACATATTTTCTAAATAAAATAAAATGGGACAAATGGTAAATGAAATCTCTAGACTTAAATCTAGGCATTGGAGTACTCCATTGGGCGAATCTGGAATGGTGGGCTACTTTATCTCGGGATGACCCAATAGGCTTACGCGCCACAGTCAATGTCGAGGACATATAATCCGACCTCATCAAAGTCACCCCAACCAAGCTTTTCATTACCCGGTTCTCAATAGATTACAGGTGCACCCCTATGGGACATAAAAATGTTAGCATATAGGGGTCTTCTCAAGGCACATGTGCACTGTCTCTTCTTAGTAGGATCATATACATCATAAGAGTGGCTTCCCGTGTGACTATGAGTGCACACGCCCTAGAGTGGTCTCCTGTCATTATACGGACTCTTGTCCCGTGGGCCACGACCATCCTATACAAGGCCGATACTCAAAAATTACTCAGGTTTTACTGTTCTCTTTTGGTTCTCCTAGCCCTATTGTTGTAAATGCTAATATGACATGCATAACAGTGAGGTTCCAATGTGCCTCACGTACCAAACCTAACCCACTTGATCCCATAGGTGTTTGGATGTTTCAACCAAGCCCTGGTGCATAAACTACTCCGTTTTGAGTGTTTTGCCTCCAACTTCTCCCGCTTTGGCTCTCATGGTTTTGTGTCCCATTTGAAGTTATTTTGGATACTTTTATAAGAGTGATATTTTCATGATGTGGTTAGTAGTGAGGTTGCTTCCCAAGATTAGACCAAAACCCACACACTTCTTGCGCTATAGGTTCCGAAAGATAGCAAGAGTTGTGACCATACCATTGCAAGATTCGCACGGTGGTTGTTTGGAATCGGCTCTGATAAGAAATATTAAACTCATGCACATTTACTTCTTAGTCTTTGCTTTTGATGCATTTCATTCTCAGATAAATTGTAAAAGAGCTATGCTCAAGTTGTAAGTTTGTTGTTGTTGTTGATCAAAGACTATTATAATTTCGATCTTGTAGTTTGTAGTAATTTGGGGCCTTCCCAAGGTGAAGTTGAAGTTTATGAAAAGTGTTTTTATATTTTTATTTTGTATACCTTGAGTGATTAGATACTACATAAGCAATATAATTAGATGTTAGTTTTGTAGAATTGAATAACAGAAGGATTCTGTTCCCAAAAAAGTGTCACTGCATAATGATAAGTATAGAGAAACATACAGAACAAAAAGAAAGAGAGTGAAGTGAATCAGGGTGTATCTAAGGTACAGTTTAAGCTTCTGTACGTTAATACGTTGTTTTTTCTTCTCTCTATACTACATTCTTGTACTTAATTTCAGATTTTCCAAAGAAATTTATCAGTTATCATCAACATAAAATGATTTCACAGCTACGACGTAAGTGATACGTTTTATAGTTTTAAGTAAATTAAATGTCATGACCCATTGGAGGGGAGAATTTCCAATCAATCCACCAAGATAACATCCCTCAAAAAAACAGAATCTTAGCTTATGTATTGATTAGAATCCTTGATGCTCATGAGTAGGCATTTATCACCATGAAACCTAGGTGCCAACCATATCAAAAGCTCCAAATGGAACCATGTGAGCCATCAAGCACAAGAGGTAAACCACTCTGCACAAGAGGTAAACCACTCTGGTACAAAGTAGATTCTCATAAACATAATTCAGTACTTGCAAAATTGACACCTTCAGAGTTCGTCACAGAGTAAGAATCAGCAAGATCCAACCAAAAGCTCAACAAAAAAGACCATACGAAGTAAGCAACTGCAAAAGGCTTAACAACACAAACAAAAATAAAACTAAGTTATTCATCAATAAATATAGATGAGGAAATTCACGAAGCATACTGAGGTGTTAGAGTCTGGCCCTTCGCAATGGTTTGTGCTTCTACAACAGTACATGTCACCCTCTGTGGAACCGATGCAGACATTGGCTTCCCATCATAAAGTTGCACGGTCACTGTCATTCCATCTATTCAGCACAAAACAATAGATTTCAGTTCACTTCAAGATGGTTATTATTTCTCATTTAAATGAAAGCGAAGTATCAAAATCTAAATCAGTTAAGGGCATGTTGAAATGCCAACCCAAATCATGTTTGGGGCCATTTGGCGACGACTTTTAAAAATCATTTGTAGACTAGACCAAAACAAAAATTGGTCTTGATCTCTTCCCCGCGCCCCCCCCCCCCCTCC